CGTAAGTAATTATAATAAAAGCCCTAAATAAAAACCCTAAATATAAAAAGTATGTTTTTAGTCTGAACTTCAAAAATTAATAAAAAATAGCTCAGAACTCCAAACAGCAAGATCCATATGTCCAAATAAAAGCCCAGGAAGTTAGGAATCCATTGCAAAAAGAATCAGTCAAAAAGAAAATCTACAAAAAAGTTATAGCTAAAATAGTGAACAAAGGTCAGAATAGAGAAAATATGAAATATAAAGTAAAGATAATAAGTATTTATAAAAATTCCAATTTAATGTAAGAAATGAAAAAACATGCTAAATGAAAGGAATAAAGAGGGAAAAGGTATTTCAGAAGATGCAATAAGACTATAAATGTGAGTATAAAATATGAGTCATCAAGTTGCTGCAACACAGATACGTGTACTAACCTTGCTTCTTTTAGCAAAAGTATGGTAAGAAGTTTAGGTCAAGAAATGAGCGTGTGACCTGTGGTGCTTTTCATCTCATTAATTATGCGCAATCAAAGAAAGTATCCACCTTCCACCACCCTCATTTTTCCTATATTTCCAAAATCGTCTTCATCTTTCACACCAAGTGTATCTCTATGACTATCTATACATATTCTCAGCATTTCTCATAATATTCACTTTCTTAACATATCTCATAAAATTCTTTTCTCAACATTTCTTCCTCATCATTTGATTAAATAAACATGTTTAATTCACATACAGGTAATAAATAAATTTCTTCATCATTCATTTATTTCAATTTAGCTTTTTAAAACAAAGATCAACTTTCAAACAAAATCTAAGGTCATCAAAACATGTCATTCTAATACAATTAATCATCCATAAATTTCACATTACACAAATCAATACAATGTTTCAAAAATCTTTTACTATAAAATTTTATCTAGATAATTTCTTAAATAAGTTATCGGTCTTTTATGCCCAAAAATTTCATCCTTAATACTAAAATCTCAAGAAATATTAGGGCTTTATTATTCAAAATAAGAATATTGATGTTAGGGTTCAAACGGGTTTTTCACACCAAAAATTCGTTTTCTACATCATGATTTCAAGGGAAAGCCTTATAGTTTTGTTATTTAGAATAAGGTAATATGAGTTTTTCTGAATCAAAATACATAAATGAGACTTAGGTTTTTGGACCAACTCCCCTTACCTAGAAATAGGTTTCTCAGATCGAGTATTCCTAAAGATCCAAGAGAAAGGTATAACGTTCCTGATAGAGGAGGATATTGTCTTAAAGATCAAGATTTCCTTGAGTATTACAAAGCATAAAACTTTAGATTAAGAGAAAAATGAGAAATAAGAATGAAGTTAGAGAACTATTATGTGTATATTGCTGACAATGTGGATATTACAAGATCTATTATTCTTCCTAAGTTAAAAATTTTAAGAATATATTTGAAATTTTGACTATGGCAAAATCAAAGAGTAATGTGGTAAATTTAATTTATCTTATACTTTGTTCTTCTTATTTTATTCTTAAACTAATTTTTTTAATTAATTTTTAGAGTATAATTTGTTGTATTATAACTGTGAATAATATATTGTTTAAAAATAATTAGCATTATATTTCTTGCCCCCATTACAAGAAAAAGTTTTTTTCACAGCTACAAAATGACAAGGTAATTAATTTATCGATATAGTTATAAAGCTATGTATTCTAATTTTTAAATTTTAATATTAAAACAAACTGAATTATATATTATTACCTTAATTTATATACATTACATTAATTTATCTTATACTTTGTTCTTCTTATTTTATTCTTAAACTAATTTTTTTAATTAATTTTTAGAGTATAATTTGTTGTATTATAACTGTGAATAATATATTGTTTAAAAATAATTAACATTATATTTCTTGCTCCCATTAAAGGAAGAAGTTTTTTTCACAACTACAAAATGACAAGATAATTAATTTATCCATATAGTTATAACGCTATGTATTCTAATTTTTAAATTTTAATATTAAAACAAACTGAATTATATATTATTACCTTAATTTATATACATTACAAGTTTTGTCTCGAGCTTAACATTAAAGATTTTACTAATTCAATTATATTTGTCTTAATCTATATATCATTTGTTTCAAAAGTTAATTAGATTTTTTACCCTTAATCTTTTTTTCACATTTAAACATTTTTCTTTATGTACTTTTAAAATTTTATAACTATGGAGTATAAATCTTCACAGTTATAAAAAAGACATGACAATATAATATTTTAGTGTATTTATATTGAAGTTATATTTACATATATTTAAAATAATTACAAACTTAATAAATAAAGTAAACTTTTTTACTTATTTTTAATTTAATCTATATATTCCCTTTGACCTATTATTTTAAATTTATTTATTTAAATTTATTTAAATTAATATTTTTATTTTATTAATTTTTAAAAATATTTTTATATTATTAAATTATTTTATAGTTAAATTTATTTTTATTAATTCTTAATTCAAATGATAAATAATTAACAAACCATATTAATTATTTCAAAAATTAAAAATAAATGCATAAAAAATTAATAAATTTATTATTTTAATTTTATGACCCACACAACATAACTTTATTATACTTAATTATTTATTTAATAAAAAATGTAATTATAATGTTAATCCAATATTAATTTTATTAAGTTATCAAGTAATATAGAATAATTTAATTATTTAAAAAATTCATTTATATATATATATATATTTATATTTATCAACGACTATAGTTATAAATTAAGAATATATATATTAATATTAGTTTTTATTTATAATATTTTTGTATAATAATTTTATTTATATAACACAAAAATTAATATATTTTTAATTTTAGGTATTAACATATAGTTTTATATATATTTATATTGAAATTATATTTTTAAAATTTTATACATTAGTTAAATAAATACTTGTTATTTTTGTTTTCAACTTATTTGCTGTATTTTTTTTACTTTTATTTAAATTATTATTATTATTATTATTAGTCTTATGAGTTGTTTTTTAAAAAATATTATATCATCTTTTAATAATTATATAGTAAAAATTTTATTAACAATTTTAAATTATAATTATAAATAAATAATATATCATATAAATTTAGTTCAACAAATATATACAAATGCATAAGTAAAAAACTACAGAGTATTTTATTTAAATTTTATAATTCAGATAAAAAAATTTTGTTATATTAAATAAATTATTGTAATAATTATTTATTTTTAAATTTTATGATGACAAATATTTTTATGAGATATGAAATAATATAAATTTTATTTGTAAATTTTAAAAATAAGAAATTTTATGCTATTTAAAATTAATTTCTTAATTTTTATAATAAATATTTTTTAGTCTATCAAACATTATAAATTAATTTAATTAATTCTAGAAAATACTAAACTATACAGATTTTATTTTCATACTGCTTCAATATGTGTGATATTTTTAAATTAATTTATTTTTATAACAATAAAAAAATAATATCTTTTAATTTACAGACATTACCATATAATTTTTTTAATGTATTTATACTAAAATTATTATTACTATCATTTTAATAAAATTAGGACAATAATAAAAAAAATTATTTATAATTTACTTAATCAACATGTTTTTTTCGTCTGGCATTTTAAATTTATTTATTTTTATCAATTAATAAATAACTAAAACTAAAAAATATTTAAAATATTTATTATATTATTATAGATTTATTATATATTATAATTTAATAAATTAATTTATTTACCATTATTATAAAAGTATAATATACTTTTTAAATAGTAAATAAAATATTTGTTAATGTCATTATTAATTTTTTTAATTAATTTAGAAAAATTTATGTAATAATATTAATATTCTAGGTATGCTGGTATTTATTTTTTAAAAAATTTATTATAATTATTATTGTATGATATTGATTTATTATAATTTATTTTAAAATAACTAATAATAAGTATAAAAAATTAAAAATTTATTTATTTATTAATATTTTTTAAGATGCAATATATTATTAATTCTATTCTTATCTTAATTTATTATTTCTAAAATTTTAAAATATTATTTTAATTTATTATTATTAAATTAATAAACAATTAAAATTATTTTTTATTTTAAAATTAATTATTTTTTTAGTTTAATTAAAAAAGTATGCAATGCACAGACGTATTTATTAGTATTATATTAAAATTATATTCTATTTTTAAATATTATTTGATCAGACACATAAAAATAATTATTTTATATAAAAAAATAACTAATAAATGCACTAAATATAAATGAAAATCATTTTATATAATCTACTAGACATTTTTAATATAATAAATATTTTCTATTCTTGTTTATTTTTAAGACCAACAACGGATTAGCATTTGCCTTAAAAAATTCCGAAAGAGGGAGAAAAATGCGCTGGCAAATTGAAACGCATCCACAAGGCAGGAAAAGATCCACAGGAATTACTCATCCCTCACTCGTCTCTCTACCATTGTCCCAAAACCACAGCACCCCCTGTTTTACAAACCCCCCACTTGTTTAACCTGTAACGTGGAACTTTTGTCTTGCTATGTCACATAGCATGTACCCCGAATTACCACAATATCCCTCCTTATTCAAGGAGTATATTTTCTTAATCGAAAACATCCATCCCCGTCTAAACTTTGAAAGAAATGCTAATGGCAGAGTAAATTTGTATTATTTTTTTTTTTACAAATTATAAAAACTAAAGACATGAAAAATTAAAAAATTAAAAATATACTAAAAATTATTATAAAACTAAATGGTGAAAATATCATCACCCTAGGCATAACTCATCGAATGTATCGGGTTCAATGCACACATATTAACTTCAACCCGAGGGACAACAAATTAGGTGCAAAAATTGAAGACCCGCCGTGGCATTGTTGAAAATTATTGACCAAAACAAGGGCTAATCACTAGTCAGCCCCTACAAATATCTCAAAACTCTTATGCAACATTCACAATTACATCGTCATAAAACAGTCCCAAGTCAAGCAAAAGACATTACCAAAACCATGCAGATTCAAACCTGCCACTCCTTCACCACCAGAACTCTTCCACTTGCCAGCCACCGAAAGCACCGCCACCTCATGCGGCCACTGAAATCTGCCATGGCCAGTGCCACACCACCGGTGCTGAAGGCACGGAGGACTCACTCTATGCCGCCGGAAAAGCTAGAGGTTTTCAAGTCAATGGAGGGCTGGGCCTCACAGTGGGTGCTACCACTACTGAAGCCCGTGGAGCAATGCTGGCAGCCACAAAGCTTAGTCCCTGACTCCTCGTTGCCGTTTGAAGAATTCACCGATCAGGTGAAGGCTCTTCGAGACCGCACCAAGGAGCTACCCGACGAGTACTTCGTAGTTCTTGTGGGTGATATGGTCACGGAAGACGCGCTTCCCACTTACCAGACCATGATCAACAACCTGGATGGGGTGAGAGATGACTATGGAACAAGCCCAAGCCCGTGGGCTGTGTGGACCCGGGCCTGGACCGCTGAAGAAAATAGACACGGGGATTTGCTCAGAACGTATTTGTATCTGTCTGGTCGAGTTGACATGGCCAAGATCGAGAAGACCGTTCATTACCTCATTGCAGCTGGCATGGTGAGTAAATTGTTTTTATACTAAAATTTATATTTTTAATTTGATTTTGATTCTCCAAATTCTATCTATTATTCGGGATTATGCATGCATTTTCCTTTTATTCACCTAATGTACTCAATTTTTTTGGTTTTTCCTTATTCTGTAGTTTCCCCTTTACTAGTTTAAAATTAAAATTGATTAATGTACATGAAAGATCCACTGATGATATTAATATTGCCTATATTAAATTGTACACACCAAGCTGAAAGCAAAATATTTCAGTGCCTATAAAAAGTTTGGTTTCTGGTCACATGATAATGGGATTTTCTTGAACAAATTCTGGAGATCTAAATTGAAAATGTTTATTTTTTTTAATGAAATGTGATATTTTAATTATTTTGTTTGGATTTGGTAGGACCCTGGAACGGAGAACAACCCATATTTGGGGTTTGTGTACACGTCATTCCAAGAGCGAGCAACGTTCGTGGCACACGGTAACACGGCTCGGCTGGCAAAGGAGGGGGGTGATCCGGTGCTTGCACGCATATGCGGGACCATTGCTGCGGACGAGAAACGACACGAGAATGCCTACTCCAGGATCGTGAAGAAGCTTCTAGAAGTGGATCCCACAGGGGCAATGGTGGCCATAGGAGACATGATGGAGAAGAAGATCACGATGCCGGCACACCTTATGTACGATGGGGAGGACCCCAGGCTATTTGAGCACTATTCTGCAGTGGCACAACGTATGGGCGTTTACACGGCCAATGACTATGCGGACATTTTGGAGTTTCTGATCGGACGGTGGAAATTGGAGATGCTTGAAGGTTTGACGGCTGAGGGAAAGAGGGCGCAGGATTTTGTTTGCGGGTTACCGCCGAGGATTAGGAGGTTGCAGGAGCGAGCCGAAGAGCGAGCGCGTAAGATGAAGCCGCATGGCGTGAAGTTCAGCTGGATCTTCAATAAGGAGTTGCTTTTGTGATGTGAGCGACGATTAAAGGTCACAAATCTCAATGCATACGGAACTTTGGGCAGTGGAAATGGTGAATGTGATGCTACAAGTTTTGGCATTGAGTTGTGACTTTGTTTTGTTGTTGGGTGTAAAGTAGGAATGGACAATTAATATGGATTGCGTGTCATGGACATTGTTGGATGCATAGTCGTTCTAGTGGATGAAGAATAGGTGCGATTTGGTGTGTAACGTTTGGCACTTTGGCATTTTGTTTATTTAAAAAAAAGTTAATGGTTAATATAATATTTTGTAAATCTATAATGATATTGCTAAGAGCATGTTTTGGTCTCGAGACTTTGTGTGTAACGTTTAAATCTATAATGATAACGATAGGCCCATGGTTAAAATTAAAATATCTTGTGTTCAATTGTAGTTTTGTTCTTTTTATTATAAATTATGTGTAATTTAATTTTTTAGTTAATCAAATTCTTTTATTTTAAAAAATTTAATAAAATTTAAATTTTTTAAAGATATAAGATATAAGATTAGAGTTTAAAAAGAAAAAATATGTATTTTTAAGGTGGAATTTGATTTTTTTTTAGTTAGTTTTCATGTTAAATTAGAAATTTAATCTTTATATTTAAGATGTATTTTTAATTTAGTTTTTATAAATAAAAAATTATAATTTAGTTTTTGTATAAATATAAATTTTTATGTTAGTTCTTATTATTTAATTTATAATAGAAACTAATTTATAAATAAATAATTTAAAAATTAAATGTGTGTTTTTAATCAATAATAAATTTAAAACAAATAAAAAATACTTTATTTCATATAATTTTGTTGATTTTAATTTTTAAGTTGAGTTTAAGTATATAAAATTAAGAATATTTTATTAAAAAAATCATTCATTAGTAAAATAAATATTATTTTTAATACAATTTTATAAAATCGTATATTTAAATAAGTTTTAAAGATTAAAATTAAAATTTTTTATTTTTTTTATTGTTTATCATACTTTCAAATAGATGAATAACGTATCAATATTAATATTTTTGTATTATAATTTTATATTGTACATTAATTATTATAATATTATTGAAAAAAATTTACTAAAAGAAAAGATTTACTATATTTGAAATATAAAATTATACTAAATATAAGTTTCTTTTAAAAATTAAATTTTTAGTCTTTCAAAATTATTTGGGAAGAGGGTTTTAGAGAGAAGAGAGGGAAGACAAATTTTATATTTAAAATAAATATATTTAAAATTAATTTTTATAAAATAATATAACATAAACTTAATATATTAATCATGTATTTATCATTTTAAATGATATATATTTTATTAATTTAAAATTAAAAATACATCTTTATCTTTTTTTTTTTAATAAAATTTTAAATTTTTTCTTTTGACACTCCATAAGTTTGCTTAAAGATATAAGTTTTTAGTTTTTATATTTTTGTAATTTTTCATGGTAATTTCTATAGTGCTGATAAGATTAAGAGCATATTTTATACCTTTCTTACATAGATTAATCAGCACTATTAATATTATATTAAATATATATAATAAATAGTGGGGTTATTAATCCGATTTAAAAAGATATGAATGTCTTTTAATTTTTAAGACATTAGAACAATGATAATTTCGATTTAAAAATGAATTAGAAATTCCTGCACTACATTATGAGAAGGTTTGGCTTCTATAGTAAATGAATTTCCTAAATAAAAATGTCTAAAATCAATTGCAATTTTCATTTTAATCAATGGTATCCTGACAAAAGAATTCATAATGATAAGGGTTTAAGGCAAGGTGGCACCATTCTTGTTTATTTCACTTTGTAGATGAAGCAAAGCAATATTTATAGAGGAAGCGTCATGTGAAAATATCTTCACTACGAAAGCGTTTTGAGGAGCTTTGAGATGGCTTTCGGTCTTGAAATAAACTTCTACAAAAGTAAGATAGTTGGTATTTTTTATCCTTAATCAAGTTGTGGCAAAATATACAAGTCAAGTGCTTTTTTAGCACTTGGGAAATCCAGTAAGGTCCAAGGGTCTCGTCCATATAGAGACCGTTGGAGGAAAAAATGAAGAATAAATTGTCTTGTGGGAAGAATCGTTACCTTTCATTTAGTACCTATATTTATCTAATCAAATTGGTATTATCAATTATTTTTCTTTCTTTTTTGAAATTCCAAAACTTGTGGCCAATTATATTGTGAGCATTCAAAGAAGTTTTTCATTAGGAGGTGGGGAAAAGAGCCAGAGAATAGCTTGGCCAAGTTGGAAGAGAGTGTGTTTACTGAAAGAAAAAGGAGGTTAGGGGTTAAAAATATACAAAAATTTAACTTAGTTCTACTTGGCAAGTGGGGATGGAGATTATTAGATGAGAAGGATAAATTGTTGTGTAAAGTCCTTTTCTTTAAATATGAACAGATTCAAGGATGTAGGAGCAAATATTGTTGTTTATATAGGGTCATACTAGTGAAAGGACATCAAGGGAAGGGGAATTAGCCTTTGATTGTGGGATATAATAATGTAAACAAATCTCAAGAGTAAAGGCATTATTCTAATAGAAAAAGACAAATGTTGCCCCTTCTCCAACATGAATATTGAAAGACTAGAACATTATTCTTCTCATGTAGGTTCTCATATGATTTATGAACTATGGTGCATGTGTTATAACTAATTGGACATGTATATAGTTCTTCCTTCATAATGCAGGGTTCATTTTTTAAAACATAATGGAATAATAGCAACTTGTAGAACTAACAAAAAATCACGGTATTCTATCTCTTTTGCTTAATTTGATTTTTGTGGCTCTATAGAAATGAAATTAACTTTGGAAGAGCCATTTTAATGTAGAATATTTTTTAGATGCAATTTAAATTAGGTGATGTAAAGGAGTTTAAATGTTTAAAATAACTTTTATTGTCCCTAAAGACAATGTAACTTTGTGAGCTTCTTCGAGGTATTGTTGACAATACAAATAAGTCGTTAAGAATATAATATGATAGTTATGGAGTTATTTTCTTCTTTAAGAATGATAAGTACTCACAAGAAATAAAACATATAGACTTGAAGTACTTGTCAGTCAAAGAAACGTAGAAATGAAAAGTGTCTATTGAGCATATTAGTACCTAACTGATGATAACATATCTGTTAACTAAAAGGTTACAGCCCAAAATATTTTATGACCATTTTAAATGAATGGGCATAATAGACAAATCTTTATTAACATGTTTGCATGATTTACATACATGTATGGATTGAACTGCTCATATTACTGTGACATTTGTGAATTCAATAAAAATAATATTTCTACTTATTTTTATTTAATCATATATATTGTTTAAATGAGATAATAGGTTGAGTGTTGAAAATACATTAAAGTTATAATTTGTAGTAAAATTGATTAAAGTTATTTAATTTAAGTTAATTATGTAATACTTAAAAAGAATCATGTCATTGAATGATTTGTCATCATTATTCAATTATTTCAAATCAATTAAAGTTGATGGCTTGATAATTTTAATGTATGTAAATTAAACTCTAATTATAAAATTTAATGTGATTATCTTTAATTATAAAAGATAAAGTGAATCAGTATATAATTGTAAAATCAAACAAAGAATACTTAGCTCTCTCCCTTTAATAGATAAAAGAACGATTATTAGAATAAAAATAATTTACTGTAATCAGAAAAGAGAATACACTCACTAACTTCTCTTTATCGTCAAAAACTCCATCATCAGATAAATTAAAAGAAAAAAGAAAAGTTAATAAAAATTACAAGAGATACCTTAAAGAGAGATAAAGATTAAGGCCTATCAAGACTATAAATATATCAAGACCTTGAGTACTGTGAAATCTAAAATAAAAGGAATATTATAATTTGTAACAAAAAATCTTAGAGAGAATTGCTGAACAAACAAATGCATGTAAAATTAAAACTACATCCATAAAAATGAGATGATCTTTTTTTTCAACCTTCTATGATGGCGGTTACAATCTCTATGATTCTAAGTGATTTTAACACTCATAAATCATTTTATAAATAAGTTTTTATTCAAGTACAATATATTCCTTTACTGTGAATTTATTCTAAAACAAGTCAAATTTTAATCAGTTCAGACCATACATAAACGATATTTGACGTGCTGATTCACTGTCCTATTTTGTTTTTCTTTTCTTGTAAAAGTAAATCACGGAAACAACCCTCAAGAACAACAAATTGACGGGAGTGAGATATATATTAAATTATATCATCGTATAAGACAAAGCCGCAATCAAGTAACAAAGGGCTAAGCGCCCTGTTAATGCCAGCACTCAAACAGCAAAAATGCAATCATCCTAATATGCGATATACCTATAAAACTTTTATTCTCTTTTACACACAAAACTAATAGAGACTTCTGTCTCCCAACAGAGTCATGATGGAATATTTCATGAATGTTCACTCTTCCATGCGGATTATGCACCTAATGGACTCTCCTTTCAGCATGTAATCAAATGCTTTGTTAATCTCTGAGAATGGAACTGTGTGAGTGATGAATTTATCCACTTCTAGCTCCTGCAATATCCATAAAAATCATATAAGAAACATTATTAATAAATAAGTGATCATCCTCCAACATCTTTTCTCCCAAAGACCACACAAATTCACTATATAAGCTTACCCCTTGCATGTATCTCTCCACAACAGATGGAAGATCAGTGCGTGGTTTGTAGTTACCATAAAAGGTACCCTTAAGAGTCCTCTCATTTAAGAAATTAATAGGAGCAGTTTTGAATGCATCATCTTTATTAGGCACACCAACAAGTACAGCAACACCCCAACCCTGAGAACAAAAAAACAAAGTTCAGCCTTACCAAATTAGCCTAATTTAATATTTTAGCAACAAGAGATAGAGTCAGGATTCAAGTACATCGTGGACACATTCAAATGCTGAGATCATGGCCTGGATGCTGCCAGTACATTCAACAGCACGATCCACACCTCCATTGGTCATTTCAGCAATTACCTGTTCACCAACATTAACACACTTCAATCTCCCTTGTTCAAAACAAAGACCCTATGGTGGCATTTACTAACAGCATAAAAATTGAACTCAATTGAGAAGTTGAACAACAATTGTTTTTAAAAGAACAGAATTAATGAACATGATGAAACCATAACTATT